GAGAGAGAGAGAGAGAGAGAGAGAGAGAGAGAGAGAGAGAGAGAGAGAGAGAGAGAGAGAGAGAGGTTCGATCTTGTTTTGGGCGGTTGAACCTGCTGGGCCTGAGCTCGTGTCTGATATTTGTCGTGAAACGTTTTGCTTCACACTCGGCCAGATATCGAATGGATGCGCGTGCCTAGCTACGGAGGTGGAACCGAATTGCGAAGGAACGAGAGCAAGAGAGGGAGAGAGATAAAAGGAAAGAGAGAAGGAGAGAATGAGAGGAAGAGGGGAAAGAAGAAGAGAGAAAGAAGGGAGGAGGTTGTCTTTGTCAAACTGCTGGGCCATCCCCCATCCGGTTCTTGCCGCGCCGGGCCGCGGGGGTTCCCTGAACTCAAGCGGACTTGGTTTACTTGGATATTCTAGCTGTTTTTTTTGCATTCAACTCACGAGTGGGGTCAACCGCTTGTCTCTGGTTGCGGCCGAACTTGGTCTGCGCAAGTGATCTCGTGAAAGAGGGTAACCGCTTTGGGTGCTTTTGCTGTCCTCCCATTTTCGAATCATTGGTGGGGCCAACCGCTTGTCTCGGTCTCGGTCGAACTTGTGTCGTTCGGATGCTCTTGTATGTGCGGGGGGGGGGTCAAACCCTCGTCTCGGGTCTCGATCGAGACTGGTTGGTTCGGGTGTGCTTGTCGATCTTCTGCATTCGATGTAAGGGCGGGATTAGGCCCCCGCGCCGGGTCACTGCCTAGCTTGGTTTGATCGGATGCATTCGCTGTTCTTTCGCACTCGGTCTCCAAGGTGCCATTCAAATTTGTGAGCTTGGTTGTTCGAGCCTTGAGCCGGGTCGGGTCTCCACCTCAACCGAGAGTCTCAGGTGCGGGCCGGTTACTCCCTTGTTAACTATACCTTGGTCTTACCCGTGAGCACGTCACCCGGATGTGCTCTCCTTTAGCTATAACACTCAGAAAACGCAGCGAAGGCGCTCGCTAGCTCCCTCCCCCGGGGTAGGGCCTGGGCAGTGGGTAGACAAAAGGGGCTCGGTAGGGGAGAGAGCGGGAAGGTCTTAGGTCGGAAGAAAACAGCCGACAAAGTGGCGCCGTTGCCGGGGACGAGTTTTCTCCGACGGCCGCGTCCGGCTCGAGAACTGCGGGTGAAGGAGAACTGGCGTGACATGTAGTGGAGGGGCTTTTCTTCGGTAGTTTCGGCATCAAGGTTTCGTTTTTTTTCGGCATCAAGATCGACACTTCCTCTTTCAGGACTTTTCTTCGGCCACGACCTTCTTCAGGCCTACGCAGGGGTTCCAGACGAGTTTTGGCAGCCTTTGGGTTCCATTGGGGGCGTTGTGGGAAGTGGGTGCTGGACTTGTTTGGGTGCAAGGGACTTGGGGGCGTCGGGAACTCTCGAGTTTGCAGGTCCGCTCCGGCCCCGCTTGCGACTTCGACACTTGCTGCTCCGAACAATTCAGGTTTGTTTTTGGGGAGTGTAACGTTTTTTTTGGTATGTTTATTTCTAAAATCCGCTAACTAAGAGGGCGAAACAGTTTGCTTGTGGGGGTTTGAATGAGGGTGAAGAACAACCAAAGGGGGGTAAGAAGAGCCGCAAGGGAGAATAGTGTGATAGGGTCCGCGCACGGGGGAAAGAGAGTGGACTCGAGGGGGAGAGAGGAAAGGGGGGTTCGAGAGGGTCCGAGGGCGCGATCAATTTGGGATCCTAGGGTGTCGCTGAACATCCTTGACCCGCACGGGCTGTGGAGGGCACCTGCACGAGGTACAGCTCCCGCGCCGGAAAGGGTTTCACGGGAGGGGTTTGAGTTCTCGGTTCTCGACCCACGCGGGTTGTGTACGGGGCCTACTAGAGAGACGCCTCCCGCAAGGGAGCGGGGTTCTCAAGCGGGAACCGTGCAGGACTTGGGGGTGAGGAGAGTAGTGTCTCGGGTTCCGGGACTAGGGGGAGAGGAAACCTCGACTGCCGTTGTGAACGAGGGGGATAGGGGGTTGCCTCGGGAAAGAGAAGCGAGCGATACGTGGGGGGCCTTGGACGAGGGATCGGAGGACGGGTCTTGGGTGGACCGGTGCCTTGCCGATTTCTCGGACTCGGACCGAGGGGATTATTGGAACTACGAAAACGAATTTTGAAAGGGGTCAAGAACCACAAGGTACGTACTATATATATCTGCTTTACCTGAGAGACTCTTCCAAAAATCTCTGCTTCCCCACCCCTTTTTTTTTTGGACGCCCCGATTGAATTCCTTGATTCCAAAAGAGAAAAGAGTCAGCCGGTGGCGAAAAGAGAAGGGAACGAAGTGAGAAGGGTTCACGATGCGAGAAGGAGAATGGGAGGGAGTAGACAGGCTAGTGATATCTGATTGCTAGGTGGATCAAGTCCAGGGACCCCGGTAATTCCACGCTCGAGGTGGGCTGAGTAGGGGCGTGGTTCCGGATAGGCTAATTTAGGACTAGGGGTCGGTTCGGAGGGGGACATAGGGCATGAGTGTGTGACCGCGGTCCGACTCTGGAGGAAGGGTTGCCACCTTTCTTCGGGGATAACCTGTGCTCGCGGCTAGTCTTTATACCTGGAAGTGGGAGGACCTCTCAGCGGGGGAGGACAGGGAGGTAGCCGAGTGAGACGGCGTTCCTTCTCTGGTCCATTTGATCCTGCTGGGCTCACAGGCACCTTCTTCTTGCAGGGTAGGGGTGGTCTCTCGAGTGGCCAATGTGACAAAAATATCTCTCTTTGATTAGGGTGAATGAGCCTAGAAGCGGTCCCGAAAGGGATTAGCGTAAGTAGTTATGGCGGGGTCGACATGTGGTGTTACACTTTCCACCTGTGGACGGGAGACTTCGATGTCGCCATCTATGTAGAAGAGGGGCGAGACCAAGGAGAGAATTTCCTCCGCGGATGGGAGGAGGCAGTAGGCAACTCTCGGGCGGAAAGAGGGGAGCTGCGAGGGTACGGGTTTAGATACTTCTACTCATTAGGATACCGGATTTATCCTAGGAGAGGACAATCCGCGCCGGTGATTCCGGACGCTTACCTCGACGGGTCGGACGGGTGGAGAGTGTTGGTCGCGATCATAGCAGAGGTAGTGGGGCGCCTATGAGCTTGGGGCTTTTGGAGTTTGAGCCGGCGGGCATTAGTGTGGCCAGCCGTGGGGGTGTAGAGGTCTGGTGCTACAACTTTTACCTGTGGACCGGGGATTTCGATATAGCACTTTACGTGGAAGAAGGGACTGACCAAGGGGAAGCCTTCCTAAATAGTTGGGAAGAAGCGGCCCCCAACTGCTAGACATGCCTTTTTTTTTTTTTTTTTTTTTTTTTTTAACACTTCGTATACAGGACATCCCCTACCCTATTTGACTAAGGGCCAGATCCCATTGGCAAAGAGGATTGGAAAAAGTGTCTGAATCTGGACGTGTTCCACGCAGAGAAGCAGAAAAGTAGGTCAATCACAACTTTTTGCACCTGTCCACAAACACGTCCACATTCAAACACTTACTATTCCAATCCTCTTTGCCAATGGGATCTCGCCCTAAGCTATGGGCTTCGCTCCACTACTCACCACATATTACACAAAAGACAAATAAATATGGGCGTGCATCTTTCCATGTTCTAGCAGAAGATTCATTCTCATTTCCCACATTTGGTGAGTACAGGAGGGACTACCACCCCCTGGTCTAAGGGGCTCGTTCGACACTCCTCGAGCGCGTCAAGTCCCCGAGGAATTGCTCGTTCCACCTATCCTCAGGGATGCAGTCGGAAAAAAAAAAAGTGAAAACACTCCCAAGGAAATTCCTTGGGCTCCCAGGATTCCCCAACCATTTCTTCCTTTTGCCCAAGGGACCATAATCCGCGTTTCACAGAGAGGAGCGGACACATGGGTAGAGAGACGTTACAACCGAGAATCTGGATCGTGGCGGCACCCTATTGGCTGAAGGCCTCAAACACATTTGATTTTTTTTTTTTTTTTTTTTTTTTTTTGTCTGACATCGTTCGAATATTACAGCACTAAAGGACATGACTACAATGGATGGCCCCCTCACCACGGTGGAAGACACAGGCACAGTCAGTGCCAATACAAGCACTGAGCGCGTGAGCCTACACTATGGTCAATACTGCGGAGTCGCTGTTTGCATAAGATTGCACGGAGGTGTCAAAAGGAACTATAGCAAGATATTAGCAACCGACGGCTCAAGTCACATGCTTAAGGGAGGGGGCCATCATACCAGATAAGTTGTGGGCAAGTAGGACAGGATTGACCAGGTTTGAGCATAAGATAGAACAAAAGAGAAAGTCTACTTACAGTAGGCAGGATAGGGCTTAGCCAGTAGGGTTTAAGGACACTGATACAAACAATGGTCAAGTTAATACACAAATGGTACAGACAGTCAGCACATACAACAGCCAAAACAACCAAAACAGCCATAGCGCTCTATAGCTTACAAAGGTACTTAGACTTCGGCCACACATAAGGGTGGCTAGGGATGTCCTGCAGAGCCACGGTACCACAATATTGGACTCATTGGATTAGCATAGGGGCCCAACATCAGCCTTGGGCCGTAATTGCACGCAAATGGTGCTGTGAGACAGTGCATTACAGTGCACACAATAGTTAAAACAAGTATAATATACAACAGTCAAAATAGGCATCACTTAAAAAAAAAAAAAAAAAAAGAGGCATCATTGTCTCTGTCTCTTATACACATCTAGATGTGTATAAGAGACAGGCGGTAGGTTCAGCGCGCGCGGGCATGGTCGGTCTAGGCAATCGTGGCACGACACCAGCATGACGCCATCGCGTAAGCAGAGTCGTCTCGCTCGCCAACACCCGAGCAACCAACCCACAAGGAAGGGAGACTAGACGAAGCGCTGCCTGACCTTTCAGTAGAGCTTTTACGCAACCACGTGTGAGTTAAGTCTATATGCAGGTATGTTTTACAAGGGAAATCCATATCGGGCGTGCGCCGAATAGGCGCCCGCCGCTGAGACGTCTACGAGGGGAACAGTGCAAGGGTAGGATGGCGGAACAGGGTGAAAGGGTGATTGCTCAGGAACCGCAGGGTCAGAGAGAGGAGAGGGGCCCGCCGGGCACAGAGGTCCAGCTTTTTGATGAAGATCGAATCAGGTTACTCATCGCGAAATGTTACGAGGATGGAGTCTTTCCGGAGCGGCTCAGGCATGGAGAATTCGTGATTGAAAACAGGATCAGAATCTTCAAAGTCAACGCGCAGATAGACCGTTTGACCACTGCTTGGTTAAAAGAGCGCACGGTTATAGTAATCTTTCAAGGGGCTGCTCGGGACTTGCCGCTGAAGGTACGGGAAGACTTAGTGCGGGCTTACGAAAACGGATGGTTCCGTAGAAGAACGTTCGCCAGAGGCTTCAAGCGAGGGAGAGTACATGGTGAGGGACCTAATGTAATGTCTTATGTGGCCAAATCCAGGGAGGTGGCTCAGTGGTTAATAGCGAAAGGAGAAGACGCAGTTGTCATCCGGGGAATTGAATACAAATTGTTATTCAAACCCTGGATGACAAGAGCAGAACTGGACGAAAGAAGACGAAATGAGGAAGCAACAAAATTTTGGGTCTCGGCGCTTCGTGTACCATTGAGAGTCATGTTTCATGTACCGGACCTGGTAACTCAAGCGATGGCGGCCATTCTGTTGCAACACCCTCCCGAGCCAGATGCCTCTCGACCTAAAATGATGAATATGAAATTTGAACTTGCAAGAGAAGCCGAGGAGCATTTTGAACCGACCATTTCGATGCGATTAGAAGACGGCGAAATGTACAACGTCGAGTTCGTGTGTAAAAACACTCCGTGGTGTACTCGATGTCGTTGGTGGTACCACACGGAGTCGGACGACTGCCCTAGAGCGGATGAAGGAGAGGTCGAAGTAAGTAATGGGAGGCAAGGTGGTGATCGTAACCGACAACGGGGCTTTAACCAAGGAGAGGTGGTGTATGAAAGGGGCATCAGGGATGCGGCCAGAGACTTGCCGAGCAACCAAGATGGAGCCAGTGATTCAAACTTGGTGGCTAGTAGTAGGGAGCAGAACAACCAGGGACCAGGGAGATCTTTACATCCGGATGGGAGACAAAACCTTGTCGGAGGAGTAGTGATAGATCACGCAAGGGGGGAGGGAGGAGGAAGTACGCCGGCTCCAAGCGGAGGGTTTGTAGCAGGGACAGGCGGAGGCTTCACACCTGTAGCCGGGATGGGAGCAGGGGAGCCATGGAATCAAGCAGGAATGATGGGAGATCCATATCTTAATCAAGCGCTTCAATACCAGATGTGGCAACAGCCGATGATGAGGGGCATACCACCGAATCAGTGGACAGGAGCGGGTTACATGGGGGCGCAGGGGGTGATTTCTTCATATCAGGGATATGTTGGAGACGGAGGGAATACAGGGTATCTTGCTGGACAAGACATGGTAGTAGGAGGATACCAGGGAGAATTGGTGGAGAAGGTGGTATCAATCAACCGACAGGTTCCGGGCAGGGATGGAGCTACACAGGCAGGGTCGTCTCAACATTCGAGTACGGGAGGGAGAAGGGACGACTTGAGAGAGGAGGTGAGGGCTCTTGTGAACCCGAAAGGAGTAGAGACACGGACGGGGGACGATCGACAATACGAGGAGAAGTTTCTGCTACCCTTGGTATGTACGATGTTGGGGCAGGAGGCCTTCATACTTGGTCTGATTCATAGGAACGGGCAAACGATTCTGCCTGCATCAGCCTTCTACGGTACCCCGGGCCCGAACATGATTGAAGCACGAGTCCGACAAATGTATGCTGAAAGATTCAACTTCCGACTTGTTCAGACGGAGTCGGTGCCGAAGATCACTGTCGATACTCCGTCAGGCAAACGAATCAAGTTCTATGTGCCGCTGGTCGATGCTAGAATTCCAATTCCTCACTAGGCAGGACTCCTGGTGGTCGGACTAACCTGCATGCCTCTAAGAGTTCTTTTGGACAACTCGGCGTCCGAACTATCGAATGTGCTGGTGGAACCGGGACTGGTTGCCGACTTTCTGCCGACATTAAATGATAAAATGTCGTTGGACAAGAATCTGGAGTCAGGCTATATACAAGAGGCATTGCTTGAAAAATGGCAATCAACGTCGCCTCCTCCAGCAAACATGGATCACAGACAAGGCAACGATGAGAGAATCCAAGATAACAAGGCTCCAGGCACGTCCAATGGTCAGACTTAAAGTGGCAACCTACAATGTGTAGGGGCTGGGCGACACGGGCGGAAGGCAAAAGGGTAGAAGGTTGAAATCTTGGATTCACGAGAAGTCTATAGACGTGATCCTCCTACAGGAAACAAAACTCTCGGAGACTAAGTTGGCGCAATTAAGGGACTGGTGGGATGGATTGTGGTCCCCTGCCAGAGGTTCGAAAGGCGGTACGACGATCCTGGTGCACAAAAGACTAGAGGCGGAAATGGTCGACTATGACAATGATCTGTGGGGCAGGTGGCTGTGGATTAAACTGAAATGGGAAGGGGTGACCTTTGTATTGGCAATATTGTATGCCCCTAATGAGCCAAAGGAGAGATTGGAGTTCATGCGAGCTCTCCCATACTGCCTGCCTAACGAAGAACATATGCTCATTGGCGGGGATTGGAACCTCATCAGCTGCCCCGGGTTGGACTCGGAGGCAGATGATGGGATGAAGAGAGACAGAGAAGCCTTCCTCAAATGGAAGGAAGCGTGGGGCCTGCAAGATGTCTTCCGAGTGATGCAGCCGTCCACCCCAGGCTTTACTTGGTTCGTTAGTTCAGCAAATGCAGCAGGAGCAAAGCAGCGTCTCGACTTCTTCTTGACAACAGGCGTCTTCTCTGAAGGAGCCATAAGGGTGGCAGAAGAGAACGCTTCTCTCTCAGATCACAAACCAATGATCCTTGAGATGCAGCTATCAGCCAGCGATAAGAGAGGGTCGGGCTACTTTAAATGAAATCAACAGAATCTGGAGGACGAGGGCTGGCGGGAATGGGTGAAAATTTTTTGGAAAGATTGGCAGGCGGCGAAATAATTTTTTTACTAGTAGTATGAGTGGTGCGATGCGGGCCTGAGTATTATCTCTACCAGATTCAGTGTGTACTCAAGAATTGTTGTTTATGGCAGAAACATGAGGAATGCCGAGTGCAAACAAAGAGTGGAGGAAGCAGAGCTTCGGATGGGGGAACACCCAATCTCAAAATGGGTATGGGCAGAAGAGAGAGTTAAAAGGTTGAATGAATGGGACGAGTTGCAGGTCGAGAAGCAAGTAAGGTGGCAAAAGATTTTGAAAGAGAATGGGGTAGTCAGTAATGACAGAATGACGAGAGACAGCTTCAGAAGACTGCTACCAAGACGACAGTCGACCCAGATGAGAGAGTTGCAACACCCTCATCTTCTGGGAAAGCCTCCTGCGACCACAAACGAAGAGATGTGTGAGTATGCAGCGGATTATTTCAAAGATATCTTAACTACGCGCAAGCTGGACTGGTCCTGGGAAACGAATCTGACGGAGGGCAGCAACTTTGGGGCGCGACGCAGGTGAAACTCTGGGTGGGTGACAGATTAGACTTGGACAGACCAATTACGGAGGAGGAGCTCAGACAAACGCTGGAAGAGATGGCGAAGGGAAAGGCACCGGGAGACGATGGGCTCCCGGTGGAATTTTTTCAATCATGTTGGGAACACCTGGAACCGGATGTCGTCAGATTATATAATGACATCCTCACAGGGGGAAGATTGGGGGAGGCAATGACAAACAGAGTGATTTCACTACTGTACAAGAAGGGAGACCGGAGCGACCTACGAAACTGGCGTCCGATCTCCCTCCTGAACATTATTTATAAGATCTTGGCTAAGACCCTGGCTCACAGACTGGGTAAAGTGCTCCCCAAACTGGTGGGCAAGGATCATGGAGCGTTTGTACAGGGTCGATCGATATTTGAAAATATCTTGACAGCAGTGGAGTCCCTGGAGATCATTGGGAACGAGAACGCATACGTTGTAGCCCTGCTCATAGACCTAGAAAAGGCCTATGACAGGGTCAACTGGACCTTCGTAATGACGACCTTGCGAGTGATGGGGTCTGGCGACGCTCTCTGCAGTTGGACCAAAGCCTTGTATGCCTTCTCTACAGCAGTAGTCCAAGTCAACGGTGTGATCTCCGAGGAATTCAAGCTGTCCCGCTCACTTCGTCAAGGGTGTCCCCTGGCGCCATTATTGTTCGTGCTCCAGCTAGAGGTGTTACTTTCTGCAATACGGGAGCATCCAGAAATTCAGGGATTACGCCTTTCGGAAGGAGGGAACTGTAGGGTCAAAGCCCTAGCCGATGACCTGTACGCACTCTCCGTCAACACTGTGGACTCCTTGGAGGCACTGAAAAGCTGTCTACACCAGTATGCTGAACTATCAGAGGCGGCTATCAACTGGAAAAAATCGGCCTTTTTTCTACCGGCTGACTACCAGCTACAAGTTCAGTGGGGTATGCAGAGGGTGGAAGAGGGAGAGGCGCAGCGGTATCTGGGCGTTCAAGTAGCGCTGGGGAACATCTTCTCAGGAGTTGATCCTACAAGAGAAAGTGTCGGCTCGAATCAGAAGCTGGGGGAAAGCACCGCATCTATCCCTGGTAGGCAGGGCCTTAGTGATCTCGGCATCTGCATTCTCCCTTCTATGGTATGTGCTCAGGATGGTGAAGCTCTCTGACGCGACAATCAAAAGCATCAGAGCGGCTGCCAGGCGTTTCCTGTGGAAACACGGAGCGGAAGAGGACCAGGGCTATATGGCAAAGGTGGCGTGGGAAACAGTGTGTGCAGCGAGGGAAGACGGGGGGTTGGCCGTGATAGACCCGGGGACACAGAATGCAGTATTACTAGCTAGCTGATTAATCAAGGTTGCAGAGTTGGCTGACCCCCTGTATTGGTGTCGGCTCGCTGAGCAGATTCTCATGCAGGAATGGGGCTTGACTCGTTGTTCAGATGTCTGGGTAGCATTCATGATGGAGTCTTTCATCAACAAGAGAATCAAATCTTCATTTCGGAAGAATGTAAACCAAGCCTGGAAGGAGGTTAAGCCAAACGTTAGAGAACCCCCAAGATCCAAGGAGGAGGTGAAAGCGCAACCCTTGTTTGAAAACTAATTGCTGGTGGACAACTACGGCGCCCTCTTTTCAGCAGCAACAAGACCGGGAGCATTTGGTAAGAAATGGGTGCAGAGGGCAGTTTCCACAATTGGGGACCTGTGGAACGATCTAACAAACCAGTGGCACTCCCCGGAGTATCTGAAGTCGAAGCTGGGCAGACTGCCAGACCAGGAGGAGAGGCTAGGGAGGCTTTTGCAAGCAATCCCTACTACTTGGATAAACCTGCTGGGTCCGGAAGGTGTAAACCCTCCTGGCACCTGGTTCCGAGGTATAGAGGAGGAGGGAGAAGGAAGGTTTTATCAGCTGCAGGAGTGGGAAGATGACAGAAGTGGCAACTGTCACCTGAAAGAATTCAGCAGGAGTGACCAGGAGGAGTCAGTGCTGACAGCATCCCAGACGGTGGTCCGAAGAGGGTTGGGAGGACTGCAGGAAGTCAGAGTTCGCCAGATGAGTACAGGCTGCCGACGAATTCCTGTAGCTTTCAAGCTGGTAGCAGATGGCACACCTATATCCTCCCTCAGAATAGACCCTAATATGTGGGGATGGGAAGTGAAGGGGGAGATGGTAAAGGATCTGTGTAATCTGAAACCGGCAATGGCTCTCAAAAAGCGGAAGAAGCGAAGTCTGCTAATGGGGAAATTGATCCCCAGATGGGAGTCAGCGCAACCTTTCTTGCCAGCACCAACGGAGGAGCAACTGGCTCGATTGTGGAAACAACTAGCGAACTTACCATCTCAGAAAATTGCTTCTCTACTATGGCTTCAATCTCATTTGGCAGTCCCTACTGCGAAGTGGCTTCAGATCAGAGGCATGGCCGTGAGACTGGAATGTGATAGGTGCTCATGGCCAATAGAGACAATGACCCACATGTGGTGGGATTGCCCCAGATCGAGGAAATGGTGGCTATGGTGGTTTGTGCATTGGGAAAGGATGTCAGGGAGGAAAGTGGATCAGAAAATGGCATGCGTGCTACAGGGGTTCACAGAACGAGGGGAAGCAGGCAGCAAGGGATGGGCTTATAGAGCTCAGTCGACCCGGGCAATCATGATGTGGGTCATCTGGCTGGACAGGAACGGGAGAAGATTCCAGTCCCAGGAATGGTCAGAAACACAGGCGGAAAGGGCGTTCCGGAATCTATTGAAGCTGGAAATTCGGGCGGACTGGAGAAGGAAGGTTCTTCAGGGGAACAGATTGGAAGGGTTGTGGTGGTTTGGGGAAACTTGGGCAGCTCCGGGGGCCCTCATCTCACCGTGGTTGGATCAGTAGGTTAGATAGGTTGGGTTGGAGGCAACCTGGGTGCTCGGTTGCGGTTCACGTCAGGTCGGTCGCAGTAGACTGTGGTAACAGTAGAGCATCATATAGGGAGGAACATGGTTCCCTCGGCCAGAATAGGCTGAGTACAGGTCGAGTTAGACCTGGTAGATAGGTGTAGAGTAAGGGGGAGTAGCATAGCGAGGGTCGGGTAGTAATCCGGGAATAAGGATATATAGACAAGTTGAACATTGATAATGAGGTTCAAAGTGGGAGATGGTACAGTAGAAGAGTTGGTTAGTGGTATTATAGGATAGGAATTCTCATAAGCTAAACCCGCTGATGCCGGGAGTAAGGATATATGAATAAGTTGATCTTTGATAATAAGGCTTAAAGTGGAAGTTGGTACAGTAGAAGAGCTGGCCAGTGGTATTATAGGATAGGTGTTCACATAAGCTAAACCGGCTGATGCTGCCGGCATAACTCCGGGTGGAAGTGTGAGGGCCCCGGCCTCAACCCATGATTTTGGTATTGAATGGAACTGTGTTTTAAAAAAAAAAAAAAAAAAAAAAAAAAAATTGCGCACAATGACTATTTTCATGCAAATACTAAAAATGTATAGGGACGCTGGACCCCATTTCCAGCAGGTGATGCTCGCCACCAATAGAGGGAGCCTTCAAAACTGGGGCCTGCTTAAGGA